CCAGCCCATGAAATGGGGGCTATCCAGCCCATGAAATGTGGGCTATCCAGCCCATGAGGTGGGGGCTACGCAGCCCATGAGATTGGGGCTATCCAGCCCATGAGGTGGGGGCTATCCAGCCCATGAAAAATAGTGGCCATCCAACCCAACATGCCAGTCCTCCTCCTGCCAGCTGCTGCTTCATCCTCATCAAGTAGTTCCTGGCACTCTCCCATTCTCCTTTCTGCTGGCCACTGGCTCTGCCCACATATAGGCATAAGTTGTCCAGGAAGGTGCTCATGGCCAGGTTGTCTCCAAAGTACAAGTCCTTGAGCCCCTTCATGTTCTGTCTCCACATGGATGCTCCAAGGCCTCCAGCTTGGCTGTGTTGGGGTTCGCCTTTTCCCCACCAGCTTGGCTGCCTTGGTTTCCTTCTGGCACTCCACCCTTTCTCTGGGCTATGGCTGCCTAGCTAGGGAGCAGGGGCGGTTTGTGCTTGGGCCAAGCAGCTGGAACAAACACATTTCTCAAGTGCTTTCAGCTCATGAAATGGGGGCTATCCAGCCCATGAAATGGGGCTATCCAGCCCATGGGGTGGGGGCTATCCAGCCCATGAAGTGGGGGCTATCCAGCCCATGAGGTGGGGGCTACCCAGCCCATGAAATGGGGGCTATCCAGCCCATGAGGTGGGAGCTGCCCAACCCATGAGATGGGGCTATCCAGCCCATGAGGTGGGGGCTATCCAGCCCATGAAAAATGGTGGCTATTCAGCACATGAAATGGGGAAACAGCAGCCAATATGGTATGAGGGCTAGCCAGCCCATTCAGCCCACAGTCCTCCCACATATTTGTTCCTGGCTCAATTCTCTATCCATTCACTTGGCAAGCTTCTTGGCTTTCCAGGCTCTAACTTTGCCCAAAGGCTCTCCAGCCTTGAGCTTGGACAAGGCTTCCTTTGCCAAATAATTGCTCTCCTTGGGACCCTTGTGGCTCAGGGCTTGGAGGAGCTGCTGACCACCAGAAATTCTCAGTGCCACTGCTCCAGTCTTGTAGGTCATGAAGTGCACAGCCTGCTCCTCTGCCAAGACAAAGTCATCTCCAAGCCCCTTAGCCTTCTTCTTTGCCATTGCCTGGGGCAGCAGCTGGCCTCTTCAAAGAGCTAGAAGGCCTCTTCATTGCCTCTCTCAGTGCTCTTTTCCTAGCAGGCACAGGCTCAGCTTTCTCTGCCTCTTCCAGCAAAGAATCTGCCAGGGATTCCTGGGTAGGGGGTATCTGGTACTCTTCCAGCAGGTCCACTGTTTTGGCAGACTTGGCTGGTGAGGCTTCCACTGGCTGGGCCTGCTTTGGTTCTGCTTCATTGAACCAGCCCCAAATCTCTTCCATTCTCTCCAGCTGCAGTTGGCTCAGCTTTCTGCTTGCCTCTAAGTACTTGCCCTTGTCTCTGCAAATCCTTCTGCAATGGTTGCACACAACCAAGAGGCAGTGGGCAAGGGTCTTGGAGAGTGAGGCCTGCTGTGGGAGTGGCCAGCACTCTTTCAAGGCAGGAAACTGCTTCAAAACCTCCTTGGCTGCCTGCTCTAGGTCTGAGTATTTGTACTCAAGGGTGGGCTGCACTGTCTGCAATCTTCTCAGCAAGGGCAGCAGGTTCACCAGGTCTGGGCCTACCACGGCTTGCTGCACCTCCAGGTTGGCATACTTGCCCAGGGCAAAGGATGACTGCACCCCCACCTTCTTCACATGTTCCACCAAAGAGTCAACCAGGTGTGCATGGTCCACTGGTGGAACCATTTGCCTTCTGGCACCACCTCTGGAATTTTTTCTGTTTGTCATCTTTTGAGCCAGACACCTGCAGAGCATGGTCTGCTGGGCAATCCAATATAAGTAGGCTTTCCATTCCAGCCTATACAAGCAAATTGAAATAACAGGGGGCTCTCCAGCCCATTAGTTTGTGAAGTGATGTAACATTCAAACATCCATGTTTCATGTGTGTGTGGGTCTGTCTTTAAATTTCAATCGAATTTTCAATCGAATTTTCAATCGAAAATTCAATATTTTGCTAATTCTTTTTCAATAGATTTTTCAATCGATCCAAAAACATATTTTTGGCTAAACAAATGAAAAAAATCAATCTTCAATCGAGGATTGAAGATTGAAAAAAATCAATCGTGAGATTGATTTTTTTCAATCGAGGATGCTTTGGGAGCCGCAACCGCCGCACACACGAGGTACCTTTCATCGCCAGCTGCAGCCACTTTACACGGAAAAACGCAAGGTTTCGTGCTCCGGCTACCTCCCACCACAACCCCCATGCAACATTCATGCAGCCATTACAATGCGTTTCGCAGCATGCCGTAGCAAACCTGCATCTCTCTGTACATGCATGGCAACACCAGATGACAACAATCATGCAGCCATTCCAATGCGATCTGTAACCACAGATTCAAGAAACGCATAGAACTACGCACGCAGACACAACATGACACAACCACTCGTTGCAGAACACAGAGGAGGCAGCAATCGCATCCGGAACGACCGCAGCCGCAACCGCCGCACACACGATACAGTACCTTTCATCGCCAGCTGCAGCCACTTTAACCAACACCCCTTACCCCTAAACACTTACCACCCCCACACCCACCCAACTTAACGTTACCCCACACACCCCCGTCACCACTCCCCCACACACCAACCTACACCACCCCCTACCCACTGACCTTAACCGCCACCACCCCACTGACCACCAACGCAAGGTTTCGTGCTCCGGCTTCCTCCCCAACACAAGCCCCATGCAACATTCATGCAGCCATTACAATGCGTTTCGCAGCATCCCGTAGCAAACCTGCATCTCTCTATACACGCATGGCAACACCAGATGACAACAATCATGCAGCCATTCCAATGCGATCTGTAACCACAGATTCAAGAAACGCATAGAACTACGCACGCAGACACAACATGACACAACCACTCGTTGCAGAACACAGAGGAGGCAGCAATCGCATCCGGAACGACCGCAGCCGCAACCGCCGCACACACGATACAGTACCTTTCATCGCCAGCTGCAGCCACTTTACACGGAAAAACGCAAGGTTTCGTGCTCCGGCTTCCTCCCCGACACAACCCCCATGCAACATTCATGCAGCCATTACAATGCGTTTCGCAGCATCCCGTAGCAAACCTGCATCTCTCTATACACGCATGGCAACACCAAATGACAACAATCATGCAGCCATTCCAATGCGATCTGCCACCACAGATTCAAGAAACGCAAAGAACTACGCACACAGACACAACCACTCGCTGCAGAACGCAGAGGAGAAACCAATCGCGTCCGGAACGACCGCAGCCACAACCGCCGCACACAATCGCACACATAGGTACCTTTCATCGCCAGCTGCAGCCACTTTACACGGAAAAACGCAAGGTTTCGTGCTCCGGCTTCCTCCCCATTCATGCAGCCATTACAATGCGCTTCGCACCATCCCGTAGCAAACCTGCATCTCTCTACACTACACGCATGGCAACACCAGATGACAACAATCATGCAGCCATTCAATGCGATCTGCAGGAAACGCATAGAACTACGCACGCAGACACAACCACTCGTTGCAGAAGACAAAAGGAGAAAGCAATCGCGTCCCGAACGACCGCAGCCGCGACAGCTGCAACCGCCGCACACACGAGGTACCTTTCAATCATCGCCGGCTGCAGCCACTTTACACGGAAAAACGCAAGGTTTCGTGCTCCGGCTTCCTCCCCAACACAACCCCCATGCAACATTCACGCAGCCATTACAATGCGTTTCGCAGCATCCCGTAGCAAACCCGCATCTCTCTACACGCATGGCAACACCAGATGACAACAATCATGCAGCCATTCCAATGCGATCTGCAACCACAACTTCAGGAAACGCAAAGAACTACGCACACAACTACGCACACAGACACAACCACTCGTTGCAGAACACAGAGGAGGAAGCAATCGCGTCCGGAACGACCGCAGCCACAACCACCCCACACATAGGTACCTTTCATCGCCAGCTGCGGCCACTTTACACGGAAAAACACAAGGTTTCGTGCTCCGGCTTCCTCCCCAACACAACCCCCATTGGCCCATGCAACATTCATGCAGCCATTACAATGCGTTTCGCAGCATCCCGTAGCAAACCTGCATCTCTATACACGCATGGCAACACCAGATGACAACAATCATGCAGCCATTCCAATGCGATCTGCAACCATAGATTCAAGAAATGCAAAGAACTACGCACACAGACACAACCATTCGTTGCAGAACACCACAAAGGCTCCACGAGTGAAAAAATCAATAGATCGATTGATTTTTGTTACAAAATCAATCTCCGATTGATTCTTGATTGTTGGAGGAAAAATCAATCTACAGTAGTTTTTTTGAAAAAATACATTTTTCGGTTGATTTTAAAGCAATCTTTGAAAGATTTTTTGATGATTTTCGATTGTTTTTCGAATCTTTTGTTTTGGAACAGTTCACACATAAACACACACATGTACATGTATATGTATGAAATATATCTACTTGTATTTGTATGTATATATGTACATGTACACATACACATGTACACATGTACACATGTACACATGTACACATTACACATGTATGTATGTATGTATGTATGTATGTATGTATGTATGTATGTATGTATGTATGTATGTATGTATGTATGTATGTATGTATGTATGTATGTGTGTGTGTCTGTCTGTATGTAATGTAATGTAATGTAATGCAATGCAAAGTAATGTAATGTAATGTAATGTATGTATGTATGTGTGTCTGTATGTATGTATGTAATGTAATGCAATGCAATGTATATAACGTAATGTAATGTAATGTAATGTATGTATGTATGTATGTGTGTCTGTCTGTATGTATGTATGTGTGTATGTGTGTGTATGTATGTATGTATGTATGTATGTATGTATGTATGTATGTATGTATGTATGTATGTATGTATGTATGTATTATGTATGTATTATGTATGTATGTATGTATGTATGTATGTATGTATGTATGTATTATGTATGTATTATGTATGTATGTATGTATGTATGTATGTATGTATGTATGTATGTATGTATGTATGTATGTATGTATGTGTGTCTGTCTGTATGTAATGTAATGTAATGTTATGTAATGTAATGTATGAATGTATGTATATGCATGCATGCATGCAAACATGCATGGATGCATGGATGCAAGAATGGTTGAGGTATGGAGGTTTGGAGGTATGGATGTGTGTGTGTGTTGCTGACTGGTTTTGGTACCAACTTTGGGGCTGGGCAGCTCCAATGTTATAGAAAAAACATATGTTACCAACATTTTGGCACTCCAGCATTAACACTTATTTGAAAAACAGATGTTCAAAATCCAAACAATATTTCTTATTGAGCATGGGAAATACATATAATGTATATATATATATATAAGTATATCAAACTTGGGCAATCCAACCCAGGGATGGCCAATCACAACAGGACGTCCATGCATTTGTTGGGCAAAAGGTTCCACAACCCATAGCTCACCAGAATCACTTGGGGCTCTCCAGCCTTTTTTTCTGAACAGAAGAGTGCCAATCACTTGGAGTGAAACCCAAAGCTATCCAACCCTGACAAATTCCACACCAGGATTGATTTACCTTCAACTTTTTCTCCCTTCAATTGTTTTTACAAACATGAAGCCCAACCTGCAACTATTCAATATTCAATCACTGGGGTCTTCCCAGAGGACATTTTTTTCCACCAAAAATCAAACCCAGTTGTTTTGCATTGGCTTGGTGCTTTCCAGACTTCATGTCAAAAAACTGTGAGGTCTATCCCAAAAAGTGGGGCTTTCCAGCCCTGATATTTTTCCAACAATGCATCAAGAAATGGAGCTCCCCACTCATCAAATTCATGTCCAAACAAGTGGGGCTGCCCAGCCCGGTTTTTATAGCGACATGTTTACAAAACAAAAATGTCAAAACTTGAGAGCCCCAGGTGACTGGAAAGCACTGGGTCAATTTTTTGTAGACTAGAATTGGGGGATGGAGGCCCCCTTGGTGGCTGACTAAGTGACTACCTCAAAAAGAACAATCCAGCCAAGGGGTGGCCAACCACTGAAGGACCTGCATTCCCTCAAATCTATTTAGCGGAAAAAACAATCCAAAAATCACCAGTCACTTGCGGCTCTCCAGCCTTGGCATTTATTGTAGAAAAGTATGCCGCAGAAAGAACCCAGCCCAGAGCATACCAATCCCTGCTGGCTCTTGCACCTTCACATTTATTTCAAAAAATTGCAGGAATAAACCCAGCCCTGAGTTTACCAATAATTTGTGGCTCTCCAGCCTTGGCATGTAATGTAGTTCACAGAACAATGCCAAAAAACAGAACTTACTGATCACTTGTGGCCCTACAGCCTTGACATGTGCTTCTTATATTTCACAACAATATGATCCAGAAAAAACCCTGCCAAAACCTAACCAATAGTTTGTGGCTATCCATGGCAAAAAAATATCAAGAAAAAACACGCGCAGAATTTGCAAATACCTTGTGGCTCTCAGAGGGCTGGATAGCCCCACATGAAAAGTACCCAAAAAAGGGCAAGAATAAACACCCCAAGTCATTGACAAACTTTGGGGTCCAAGTGTTGTTGAAATAAATGCCAAGGTTGGAGGGCCACACATGATTGGTCAGCTCTGGGTTGCTTTCTTTTGCAAAATGATCTTGGGAACCACAAGTGATTGGTAAACTCTGTGCTGGGTTGTTTTTGTAGCA